AAAAAAAAAAAAAACTCGTATTGAGCGGATTTATTTATAAACAAACCCCCCTAAGCAACTAGAGTTATATGGAGCCAATGTAAACACGCTGAAACATCAAACTTTGAAAGACATTTGTAGTGATGAAGTTCAAAACATCAACTTCTGGGCCTAATCAACATCAAATCTTTCACTTTGCAAATGTATCCATCATCAAACAAAAGCACAGCCTCACATAATCAAACCAAGAAAATAAACATAGTATACATTACATGAGGCGATACATTACGAAAACAAGTCGAGCTTATAAACACAAATTGCAAATTCTAACATGACAAGACACGACTGGATACAACGTGGAAGCACGGAACTATACTTGCATAATAACGAGCTTTTTTTTTTTTTCTTTTTAAGGTTGTTTTTGTAATCGCATTGTTGTATCACGGTTTAGAGACTAGGGTTCATCCTCATAGGCTTCAAATGGAGATAACGAAAATTAATCATCTTTTCTCAACACCAAACAATTCCTCAAAGAAGCTAATGACTTGTAATGGCCACCGGTAAGATGATAACCCGTCAAATACTACCTCTTCAGATTTGCCCTCTTTTGATCGATCAAATTTCGGCCAAATCTCATTACCTTGTTTAGGTTTTTCGTCCTCTAAATAGGGGACAACGTGTTTCTTCATGTCATTTTTCGAGATTCCAAGGTGATTTCCCGCCACTGAAATGAACTTCAACCTTCCGGAATCATCTAATGTTTTCAAACCAATCCAATCGTCCGTGTAAAGCTCAGTCTGGACATAAGAAACTGGTATGAGTACAGCATTTTGATATTATCCATATCTGTAATTATTAAATTCTATCTAAAGTAACTTGTGAAAAATAGTTCAATGCTGCACTATCAAGTAACTTGCAAATGGAACTGGAAGAGTCATTGTTGACAATTCTCCTGGCATAGTGCTAATGGACTAGATCAAAATGACTCAATTAAATTCTAGTGCTTCTTCTATTAGTGAAGTTTCTAGAAAAAAATATATCAAACGACGCAATGCACCTTGGGTCGCTACGGGAACAACCTCCTTGTATATTTAGGTCTGCGTACAACTGATTCCCAGACCCCAACCAGTTGGGAATATACTGGGTATGTTGTTGTTGCATTATCAAGTAGAACATATAAAACACATCCGCGGATTATTTGACATGAAAAGCCTCATTAGGACTCATATAGGTGAGTTAGTCCTGCTTTGTCTTAGATTCGAATTATGAGTTTTGGATAAACAATTAAATGTAGAAACTGAACTATTGATTTATAAAGAGAATAATTTGATGATTCAGAAATTGAGGTCAGTATATATTGCATCATTGCATATATTTGCCAGTCTGACTTCTTTTTTAGCTTCAAGTGGTCTATCATTCTACGATATGAAAATGGAACATCTATAGGACATTTATACTATCACATGATATTTATTTAGAGATAATAAAAGCAAGCTAAAGAAAAAATGTTGAAACCTGTTGTGGTCTCAAAATCAGATCAAATATACCGTTTGGATAATATCCAAACCAAGCGGTCTCCTTTGGTATTAAGACGGTATCATGTTCAAACTGCTCATACGAGAGGACAGAAAATTAAAAGTCATGAAGAGTAAACAATGTAATTTATTGATTACCAATTATGCATTGAAAAAGAAAACCTTTAACGCGTAAAATTACCATGATAAGGACAAGATTTTGTAAGCTAGCAAGTCGTTCTTTGTAAGTGTTGTTCCTTTCTCCAGGGAGTTCATTGTTAAGCCTAGGGAGAAATCTACATTTGGTCAGGTAGCCATCAATATTCTGAAAATAAAAACTAGAAAATAATTAGAACTATGTTATGGAGTTAATAATTCATATGAAAATGAGGAATAATGGTATGAAGTCCATGGTTTCATTAACGTAGCCTAATTCATGCAAAAATATACTAAAATACTCACATTAGGAAGCTTTAGATAACCGCTAGGAGCCAAGTGAGCCTGCGTATTAACAAGCAAGCGATAAATTCAGATAAATAATTTACTTATTGTTCCCCTTGCAAAAGAAATGAAGTGGTACGCATACTTGGATATAGTCGGAGTAGATCTCAGATTTGATTAGAGCGTCAGCTATAATGCAAAATATACCAGTCTGAGGAAAACAAGCCATTGTCAGATCAGTCGTTAAAATACTTTGGAATCATAAAAAGCGATTAGACGAGGAAAGAGGTGAAGAATACAAAGAAGGTGCATTTTTGTTTTTTATTATTTATTAAATCAAAAGATAAAATTCAAAATACATACTACAATCTCATAGTGATGCCACATCTCAAGAAGCTCTAGAAATGTGATTATTTTTTTAATTTGGCAAGTCCACAAAATGTCCTTTTTTATTTCTAGATGTCGTGTTTTGTCTTCGACAATGTTTTTTCATGCAGCAAATTGGTACTCTTGTTGTTATTCCAATGTGAAAAACTTAAAATTGTATTCTGTTACATTCTACAAACAGCAATAGAAGGCTTCTAGTCAATATATAATCATCACAGAGAAAGATTCAAATCACATTCAATCATTACTTCTATTTTTTTTTTTTAAATAATTGTGTTAAAATAAAGTTAACAGGAATTTTCCAACCTTGGGGTTAGTCAGAGATAAATTTTGACATTGAGAAGCAATGAGGGACTCAGGCCAAAGCTCCAACAAAAGAAATAGAGCCTTCCACAAGAGTATTAACGTTATTTGAAATAAATAAAATACCGACAACTCTACACCGCAACTATCTGTCTTCTGGAAACTCCTTGGCTTGAATGCAGTTTACCAAAATTACCAAGCCTTTAAAGAATCTATCCAATTTTTAACGTCAAATGAATAATACAGATAAGGACTCTTTTTCTCTCTCCCCATTAACGGAAAACTATCTTAAGATCATCTCAAACAATGGAAAGAACTCCATTAGATCTATTTTATTTGTTATCAAGGATATAGCCACATTCATCAACCTAAGGTCATAATCTGAACCTTATTTCATTAAAGTGATCAAGGGAAGCAAACTATCGGATAAAAAGTGATTACTGACTTAAGAATAGAAGTTCAGGTTGAAATTGCCCCAAATGGTTTTTTGTAAACAAACTGAATAATATCGAAATGGCTTTTCATAAAAATAAAGATGCCTTTAGAAAAGTAGATATTAAAGGTGCTGTTTATAATACATACGGAAGTATTACTTACACCACAAAGAGGAACTGAAGCAGTACCAGCATGAGGTCCTCCTAGAGATACGAAATTCCTTACCTGACATCAAATAAAAAATTGAAATATAAAATACCATCTCATCAATGCATCAATATCTTAACAGTTGTGAGGCTTATATCAGCTTATTATGCTAGGCACTGACCTTTCTTACAAAAGTTTGTAACAAGATTCTGTCTTATGTAATGACGTAGATACAAAAAGTAAAACTAGAAAAATTGCTTCATATAGTTCTTACCGGTGGTCCACCATCACAGAACTCCACAACACCTCGTCCTATTAAGTTACCCTATACGGACGATCAAGATAATTATCAGAATGCTGAAACTAACTTTTGAGCACTTAAAACAAGAAAGTGATTAATTAATCTCAAGCATAAAAAATAACAAGATAAAGGAAAATAAATCAATCGAAATTTTAGTAATGTTTCCTTAAAAAAATATGAGTACATTATGATCCTCAACATTATTACCATACAATGGCACAGTCAGAAATAAAGTAACAGCCAACCAGAAAGAAAAAGAAAAAAGAGGAAAAGTAAATCACTAAATCACCTGTGAAAGACCAACAATGTTGTAACCCTCCCGGAGTTCTTTCATTTGCTTCACCTAAAATTTAATCCACAACAGTCAGAGGGCGACCAGCCAATCAACAACTTAAGTATCCGCAACTTCAATACGCACCTTATTGCATACGACTTCCGTCTGCAGGTCAAATGGAAGAAACTTAAAATCAATATCACTTGCAAAAGTAAATCAATAAAGACATAAGACTCAAGATTGTGCACTGCTCTCCCCTAACCTGTTCCTGTAGGGGCTTAAACCAAGAATCCCATGATCCATCTCCAATTTCCCTAGAGGTTTGAAAATATAAAATGTTAGAGTGTGTTTAGTAATCACTAAACTTAGCTCATAGCTTATTTAGTTATTTTATACGCTTCTTATATGCAAATAAGTTTGGTTAGGTAGGATGAACTTTTTTGAAATTTCTATTTCAGCTTAGCTTGTATTATATCAGCTAGCTTTTCAGCCACCAGCGGTCAGCAAACTATCAGCTATAAGCTCGAAATTCACTTATAAGCTATTAACTAAATTTTCGACTAGATTTAATTTACCAAACATACCTTCAATTGAATTGTAGAGAACAACGTGAGAATGATTTAACAGTAAGTAATTTTTTTTTTCTTTGTCTCCATTCGTAAGTCCAATGCAATAATTTTACCTAACCGAACAAAAACGAAAAGAAACTTGTACACATTGGCAACCTAAACCTTCCATTGATATCTCCTGTGGTACCTAATATCTTTTCTTTCTTTCTCACACGACATCTTGTATTCAATGGCAACTTAAACCTTCCATTGATATCTCCTATTTCCTATGGTACCTAATTTCTCTTTTTTCTAACATGGAACCTGCATAGTATTTCCAAATCCAAATTTGACTTTGCTTTTCACACAGCCATAACACAGTTCTTCAACCGAAACCGAACTAACGAAAAAAACAAGAAGGCAAATCTCACAAGCAGTATCCTTCAGATTTAGAGAATTCGCTGAGTTCCTGGGTGAATCGCTTCATTCCTCTGTTTG